AAAAAAAAAAAAAAAATCGTAAATTACTATATCGATACCATAGAATTCCACTATAACTTATCAAGCTGTATTTTGGCCAGGTGGTTAGGATGCTTGACTCACAATCTGAGGGTCGCAGGTTCAAATCCCTGTCCCACCAAACATGCTCGCCCTTTCAGCCTTGGGGGCATTATAATGTGACAGTTAATCCTGTTATTTGTTGGTAAAAGAGTATCCCAAGAGTGGGTGATGGCACTATTTCTCGGTAAATGAGTATCCCAAGAGTGGGCAGTGGGTGGGGAAGAGAATCTTCCTTACCTCTAGTATTACAATGTTAAATTAGAAATGGCTAATGCAGATAGTTATCATGTAGATTTGCACAAAATTCTAAACAAAGCTGTAAGTTGCTTTAAAAAATTTGAAATTTGGAGCAGACTAAATACACAACCTACCTGCATGAAATCTTGGTTCAAAATAATGAGAGGGCTTCCTAACATTTTATAATGGCTAGGGAGACATTCTGAGCTGTCACTTGGTTATTCACATGTCAGATATTGAAGAAAGTGTATATAAGGGACCACTTCCAAAAATAGAAAGAGGTGAGCTGGGCCACTGTCTTTGATTCAGTACCTAAGCAATATCTCAGCAAAAAGAAAAGATATGAGGTTTGTATTTTATATCATAGCTTGTCAATATTGGTAATTTGAGTTCCTAATTCGTACAAAACTATAGACTTAGTATTTTCACATCACAAACATCTCATTTGAAGCAGTGCTGCATTTAACATACCACGTGACACACAAAAATCGATATTTAACTGTATTTTTAATATTTGCTTTTAAATTAAAAAATTGAGTAATATATATATATAGTACTAAAATTTGAATTATAATCTACAGTTTGATACCAAACTTATTGACATAAATTCATCACATAGTAGTTCAAAAAATTTTGAATGGAAGTCAACAAATGCAATGACGTGGCCTTTGGCAAGTAACACCACTCAGTACATGTACACACACGTGTATTTGTGTAAATGTGTTCTCAGGGACTTATTTTGTGTGTAATTTGGTACATGTGCCCAGGTGCCTATTTTCGTACATGCGTGTGCAGGTGCCTTCTTTCATGCATGCGCACACAGGTTCGTAATTTGGTACATGCATGCATGGGTGTTTATTTTGTAATTCATAGTAATTTATGATTATAATTATTTTTAATTATTTAACTCTATACATAAAACCTAAAAAAAAAATAAGTTTGGTATCAAACTGTAGATTATCATTCTAATTTTAGTATTATACCTTATTCAATTTCTTAATTTAGAAGTAAATGTTTAAAAAACAGTTTAATATCGATTTTTTTGTGTGTCACATGGTATGTTGAATGCAGCACTGTGTATTTAGTCTGCTCCAAATTTCATATTTTTTTTAGACCGAAATACGACTTTGTTTGAATTCACGAGGGCTATCTGCACTAGCTATTCCTAATTTAATATTGTAATACTAGAGGTAAGGAAGATTGTCATCACCACCCATTGCCCACTCTTGGGATACTCTTTTATCAACGAATAGCAGGATTGACCGTCACATTATAGTGCCTCCATGGCTGAAAGGGCGAACATGTTTGGTGAGACGGGGATTTGAACCCGCAACCCTCAGCATCCTAACCACTTGGCCAAAATACAGCTTAGTTACTAAGCTTGATGAATTATAGTGGAATTCTATGATATCGATAGAGTAATTTATGATTTTTGGTTCTTCAACTGTATACATAAAACCTAAAAAAAAATATTTCTTTTCATATTCTTCAGCTGCGAAATTTTAAAAGGCTTAGCAACGTACCTCAAGCGTCAGATGAGTACAAAGGTTGTAACTAGAAGAGGTAATTGTTTGCTTCTATGTTTTAATTAAAACGTGTTTCATAACTTGTTTCTGAATAATAATAATAATCTATATACATATATAATGTATAATAATTGAAATGTTACTGTATTTTACTAAATACTAGTCTACTAAAACACAGCCAAGACAGGGTTACTTTGTAAAGACTAAAGGTTATATTTATATTATTGGATAGGGTAACGTGAGTGCACCTGCGCTGCGTCATTACAACTTCTGAAATGTGTAAAATGTCAATATGATAAAAATGATAAATATATATAAATGTATAATGTTATGAAGTGTAAGCTATTTAGTCTAAACATTTATGTTTTTGTATTATAATTTGTACTCGTTCTAGAACAAAAGAAGCATAATTTATATTTATTTCCTAATTTTTTATGTTGGTTACGAGATCGGTCAAATCTTTCGAACCTGTGGAGATTCATTAGTGAAAATAACAGATAAAACATAGTTTTTCCTTAAGAAATGTTTGTTAACTATCTGGACATTATAAAGATTTTGCATGTAATATTTGAAAATTTTCTGATGCATAAAAATATTTTTAATCTTAAAATGAAAATTACTTTGCATGTTGGATAGGTAACATTTGAAAAGAAAAAACAAAGTATGAGAAATGTTGCTTAACAAATCTTAAGAATTAATATTTTGCATATGAAAGCATTGTAATGTTAACTGATAATTTGCCAAATTTTGTTAACATATGCTTACTAATTTAAAGGTTAAAGCATGAAAACTATATCAAGCACAGTGGTTTCGAGGTCGATCCGATGGACCGAGCTCGAGTTGAAATGGTTAACAGCCCTACACATATCAATTCTTGGTATACTGTGCCATCAGCGTATTTTCTTTCCTGAAATGTGTTAGTTTTAACTTAAAGTATATAATGTCTTTTTCCCTATTGGTCCAGACCTCTGAGACACCCTCTATATTAAAACAAGCCAAACATATATACAAATGTTGTTCCACTGTTGGTTATCACAGTTGTATCCAGAGCTTTAAATAATTGTTTTTTTTTTGTCCACACAGGTTGGTTGAG